CCTTAGCCGCTTGAGCCACAGGCGCTGAGCCGACACACACCTTAATATCATCCAGAGGTTTTTTGCTCACCTAGCTTTGGATCAAGATCTTAGCATTTGGAACAAAACATTTGAACCCAATCCTGTTACTGAGCTAAAGTTCTTAGGAGTGAAAATCCTACTCCACGACTTAAAGCATTTACTTTTTTTAGGTTATAAAAGTGCAAGCATATTTTATATTTTGGGGGGGAAGAGATGAGTTAAGAAAAGAGAGCAGAGAGCAAGAAGTGAGAGAGGGAAGATGGGAGAAAAGGATCGGGAGAATGTGGCATCCCAAAGAAAGGAAGAATATCTGCTAGAGCATCTTCTTTACTAAGTAGGTACTCAACAGTTCTTATATGGCTGGGGCCAGGAGAGTGAAAGGTCAAGCTATTTGTGGCTACAGCTTGTGGGAGTGTTTACAGTTAGCAGCTCTATTGACTCACTCAGAACAAACATGATGGATGACAAGGCATTGCCTCATTTCAAGCAAAAGACACAGGGATAAAGTAATGAAACTCATGTTTTGCTGACCCCTGCTGACAGCTCAGAGTTTACTGTGCCAGCAGCAGGGTCATTCTGTCGTGACAGAAATATTTGGGGCAATGGCTACCTATCCAAGTCCAGGGACCAGCTCCATGTTCCAGGCCCTGTGTACTTGCTAAAGGCTTTGTAAGTCATAGAGGAAATAGGGCCTTGGAGAGCTATGTGTGCCTAAACCTGGGTTTTATTTATTTATTTATGTGCAGTTTTTGGCCGGGGCTGGGTTTGAACCAGCTACCTCTGGCATATGGGACCCTACTGCTTTGAGCCACAGGTGCCACCCCTAAACCTGGGTTTTAATAGTCATTTTAACTTGCTCTGAAAGGCAAATGTATACTGTTCCTCAAGCAGTGCAAAGTCACGAGTGGGGAAAACTGAACGCATTACTCTTTTTGGCTAGGGGAGTGGGCCTGGCAGTAGGTAGAAGTGAAGGACAGACATTATGGGAGGAGAAACAGTATACAGATGGGGGAAGTGGCTGTGACCCTCAGTTCCATAACCTTGGTTCATCTCCACCTTGAAAACCTTCCCATTTTATTAGCAGTAGTAGTATCTTACTATCCTAATTGCTTTGGGGGCAGAGTAAAGGATGCACGAAAGTGCTTTTGAGATTATTTTGGCCCCAATCTCCCTTAAAGCGATTATTTAATCCTTCTAGGCATCCCAGGACTAGATGGTTGGCTGCAGTGGTCAAATGCTCCACTCTCGGCTCGGCGCCTATAGCTCAACCGGCTAAGGCGCCAGCCACGTACACCCAAGGTGGTGGGTTCGAATCCCCAGCCCGGACCCGCCAAACAGCAATGATGGCTGCAACCAAAAAATAGCCGGGCGTTGTGGCGGGCGCCTGTGGTCCCAGCTACTTGGGAGGCGGAGGCAAGAGACTCGCTTGAGCCCAGAAGTTGGAGGTTGCTGTGAGCTGTAATGCCATGGCACTCTACCCAGGGGAAAGCTTGAGGCTCTGTCTCAAAAAAAAAAAAAAAAAAACGCTCCACTCTCAAAAATGAGACTGAGTTGAAGCTCTGGTCATCCATGTCAACTTGGCTGTGCTTATGTCCTTTAATAAGAGCTACCGTTTACTGAGCTATGTTCCAGACACTGGGCTCTGTGATCTCACCTGAGCCTCAAAACAACCTAGAAAAGTTTGGAGGTTTTTTTTTTTTTTTTTTTGAGATAGTCTGTCACCCTGATTAGAGTGCAGTGGTGTCATGGTAGCTTCCTGCAGACTCAAATTCCTGGGCTCAAGCAATCCCCCTGCCTCAGCCTCCCAGTAGCTGGAATTAGATGTGCCTGCTGCCACGACCTGCTGCTTTTTCTATTTTTAGTAGAGATGGGGTGTGGCTCTTGCTCAGGCTGGTCTAGAACTCCAGAGATCAAGCAATCCTGCCCTTTTGGCCTCCCAGAGTGCTAGAATTACACGTGTGATCCACTGTGACCTGCTATTTCAATGACCCTATTTTAGAGAACAGGCTTAGAGATTAAGAATCCTATAGGGATGTAGTTAAGCAGCATAGCTGGAACTGAAGCTATCTGACTCAGCTTGTGCCCCCAAGCAACCTCTGCAGTCCTGACAGGGAAGCTTCCTTGAGTCATTTTATTCTGTGGACCTCTGTTCAAAACAAACACAAAAGGCCAGATTTCTTGTCATTACAAGTGAGACTTGCTGGTAATAGCAAGGAATCTGATGCCTAAGCAGCACAACCCAGTTTCATTTTAAAACATCAGACAGGGTACATGTCTAACAAGTGCTCCTGAGGGTCACAGGCAGCCCCTTTTCAAAGAAAAGTTGTTTGAACTTCCTTAAGGCCGGTACCCAAAGAAGGGCATCCTTGGGTGCATTCTGCCCACTATAGACGTGTTTGCCTCTAAGCTCCTGGGGGAAAGGACCAGAGTCTTGCTCCTGAGAAAGGGCTCCTATGTCCTTACAAAACCAGGCCCACACTGACAAAGTAAGTGCTCCATTAGTGTTGCTACCTTTGTCCATTTCCCCCCACCACCCAAGACTTCCCCAAATGTGAACTAACCCTCAGCAGGATTTCACCTGCATTTAAAAAAAATTAAAACACCAAGTTGATACTCAAGATCTTTTATTGATTTAACTTTAACAGCAACCATTGATGAGAATTTAAATTTTTCCCTCATTTCCAAACACCGCTGGTTTGGAAGGACAGTTAAAAAAACACATTGATCAGGGGAATCACACAGGACTGCCTCAAGGACCGCACAGTGCCCTCTGCTATCCATCCACGACAGTGAAATGGACGGGAGGGTGAAGGGACAACACATTAGGGAGACAGGGAAGAAGACTGAGGAAAGTGCTGGCAGTCTC